TCAAATTTATATCTCTATTCTTCTTTGAGAAATCTACACGGTATGCCCATTGTCAATGCCAGTTAACTCCGTGTACCTTTGAAATTTTTATTTTACCTTGTATACCTACTATATAAAAGTTTATTACTTTTAAACTTCTAATATCATTATATGCCACTAAATAAATCTCACATTTTAAGTGTCACGACCCTAAAGCTAACCCGATCGTGATAGTGCCTATCATGAAACTAGGCCAACCAACACAAACCTAAAACCAACCAGGAAATCATAATAAGTCATTTTAAGCGATTAATTAACTAAAATCCCATAATATATGTACATAAGCAGTGCAGAAATATAACACAAGCCCAACATCGGGGTGTCACCAGTCATGAGCAACTACAAACTCGTCTAAGAATAAGAAAGGCTAACATAGTCTGAAAATAGAATACTACGACAATCTGAGTAAGATAAGAAGGAGAAGTGCATGGCTGCGAACGCCAAGCAGCTACCTAGCCAACTCCAGAGACCTGCTGGAAGACTGATCAGCACTCACTATCGCGTCTTGAGACTCCTGGATCTGCACACAAGGTGCGGGGAGTAATGTGAGTACGCCAACTCAGTAAGTAATAAAACTAAAAACAGATGAGCAGTAAGAAAACAGGTGATTCCACGTCATAGCACTACCGCAAAGCAACATATGTCCAGAACAATACAGAAAATCAATTAACTCGTAAAAATAAATCAGTTCAGTAAAACCTTTTTAAAACATCTTTTAATAGTTTCGACAAGTGGTAAAATAGTGAGTAAAATGGATATAAACGTAAATAGCCCTTCCGGCTACCTCACAGAACCAGCCCCTCGGGCTACCTCACAGTCACTCGTAATCAGCCCCTCGGGCAACAATATGGATCAACCACATCACTCACACTGTGTACCAGTGCTCACTGGGGGTATTCAGACTCCGGAGGGGCTCCTATAGCCCAAGTGCTATCACAAGGCATCTCGTGACATAATAAATCAGGTCCTCGACCTCTCATATATCACAAATCAGTACAACATACTGTGGCATGCAGCCCGATCCCATAATATCCTCACAATACAGGCCCTCGGCCTCACTCAGTCAAAAACCTCTCAAGCCACTCGGTAACAGTAAAACATGATGTTCAACTCAAAATATTATTTAAAGTATCAAAATGGAGTAAATACGGCTGAGTTATGAATTCAGTAAAATAGAGCATCACTGAGTACATGTATTAAGTCAAAATAGTGAGAAATAGTAGTAAAAAGCCCCATAAGGGTCCAAAATAGTTGGCACGAGGTCCAAATATAACATTCAGCACAAAGCATAGCAATACTTTCCAAAACACAATGATATCAAACAGTTTTAATTAAATACGCAACTTAACAGTCATATGGGACGGGCCAAGTCACAAATCCATAACGGTGCACGATCCCACGCTTGTCATCTAGCGTGTGCGTCACCTCAAAGTAGCACAACAGTGTAAAATCCGGGGTTTCATATGCTCAGGACAACATTTACAATCATAACTTACCTCAATCCGGTCCGAACTCTAGTCCGCGATGCCTTTGCCTCTCGACTCATCCTTCAAATGCTCCAAACCTAACAAAAATCAGTATCATATTATTAATATGCGCTAAAGGAACAAAGCCCAAGTGAAAATTATCAAATTAACTCAAAAATCCCGAAATGGGCCAAACCCAACCCTTGGGCCCACGTCTCAGAATCTGATCAAAATTACATAAATAGAATCCTCATCCTCCCACGAGTCCATACATACCAAGAAAATCAAAATCGTACCTCAAATGGCCCCTCAAATCCCTAATTTACACTATCCAATTTCAAGCCCTAATTCTCCAATATTAGGCTTTAAATCCCACTAATTTCATGTCTAATTAGATAGAAATCACCATAGATTCAAGTATTGAGTTCAACAACCTTAATTCCAATTGTTATCCCTTGAATCCCTCTTCAAATCCTCTCAAAAAGCTTCAAAACTATTCAAAAATGGTGAGAAATAGGCTAAAAATCGCAAAGATGGGTTTTTTATATATTCTGCCCAGGCATCTCCTTATTTGCGAATGTGACCGCCTTCTCGCGTTCGGGTAGACCAAACGATACTGCCTCTCTGCTTTACTCTTCGCGAACGCAAACACTGCCACGCGAACGTGATGCTTCGCCAGCCCAAGCTTTCGCGAACGCGACCCTCACCTCGCGAACGCGTAGGCCAAGGACCTGGGGTCCCCAACTGCCTCACTCCTCTTCGCAAACGCGACTCCACTCATGCGTTCGCGATGCACACTCTGTCTCAACCTTCGTGAATGTGGAACCAATATTGGGAACGCGAAGAGCAACTCTCCAGCCTCACTCCACATCCCTTCGCGAACGCAAAGAAAAAATCTCTGCAACAGAACACCAGAAAAATCTGCAATTCTCAAAACCAAGAATTTGGTCCGATAACCTTCCAAAACTCACCCGAGGCCCTCGGGACCTCAACCAAACATGCCAACACATCTCATAACATCATTCAAACTTAATCGAGCCTTCGAATCACTCAAAACAACATTAAAACATCAAATCAACATCGGATTCAAGCCTAAGAACTTAGAAACTTTCAAATTCCACAAACGACGCCGGAATCTATCAAATCAACTCCGAATGACCTAAAATTTTGCATACACGTCATAAATTATACAACGGACCTACTCCAATTTTTGAAATTCCATTCTGACTTTGATTACAAGATTTTTACTACCAACCGGAAAACGCCAAATTTTCAATTTCGCCAATTCAAGCCTAAATTTACCACAAACCTCCAAATTACATTCCGAACACGCTCCTAAGTACCAAATCACATCACGAAGAGATCCGAACCATAAAAACTATGTTCCGAGATCATTTACTCACAAATCAACTTTCGGTTGACTTTTCCATCTAAAGCTTCCCAAAAAGAGACTAAGCGTCTCATTCCTCTCAAAAAACCACTCCGAACCCGAACCAACCAACCCGATACCACATAATACAACTGAACAACACATAAAGAAGCAGAAATAGGGGAAACAGAGTGATAACTCATGAAATGACCGGCCGGGTCGTTTCATTAAGGAACTAAATTATCTCTGACTCCAACTTAATAAATCTCTTAAGACACTCCAACATTCCACATTATAAGGAATTGGAATAAAGCTCACATTTTAAGGAACTAAATTTTTTATCACTCCAACTTAATCCCTTAAAACACTCCATCATTCCACGTTTTAAGAAATTGGAATTATATCTATTCACCAAAAAGTCCAGACCCCAGTAATTTCTTTATGAAGTCCTTCATAATTTTTTTCTTCTCTATCATCTATGTAATCAAAAGAATGGGAAAATAATGATGTATAGCCCTCTATAGATCTCTTTACTTACTATGCCTTAACTATGAAAGTTACAATGCATACTCATAAAGAAATTACATCGCATATCTTGATAGAGAATCTTATGCGTGTAACAACCACTATTAGTAAGGGGATAATATCCCTTAAATGTAGCTTTAATTATTAAAACGTGTACTCAATGAATCTTGCGATTCACATCTTTACTAATTAAATCATATTCCTATTTTTCATCCGAACTTCATTTCTGATATTGTATACTCTATAAAAGTTCATTACTTTTTTTATCTTTTACTATCATTATATACCATTAAATAAATCCTACCTTTTAAAGAACTAAATTATCTCTCTTTCCACATTAATAAATCCCTTAAAACACTCCATCATCCCCCGTTTTAAGGAATTGAAATTATACTTATTCACCAAAAAGTTCAAACCCCACTAATTTCTCTACGAAGTCCTTTGTAATCTTTTTGTTCTCTCTATTACGGTTTAAACTTATCATCCAATAAACGTTGGAACTCATTTACGACTTTGGCAACGACATGGGTATGTATTACCCCGAAGTATAACATGAATTGACATGATTCCATGGCTCACAAATACTAGAAAGTATATATTTCTCGATTATTATTTTGAGAGTAACTATATAATATTATTTTTTTCAAGTTTCTATATCTTTCAAACACCTACAGTTCTAACAAAACAAAACAAAAAAAAAATTCAGTCGATTTTGGTGTCTGCTTTGCAGCTCGACTAATTTGAATCGCTATGAATTAGATTTGTTTTCATATTGTTTTACTTGCTACCTCTGCTTACATTTCAGTGTCTTGATATTTATACCCATCTAAAAATAGAAGAAATATGTAAATAAATAAATTTTACAATATGTTATTTAACGGAACACTTCTCCTAATAAATAAATTTCATTTCATGAAAAGAACATGAGTCAATCAATCACTCAGTTACACCTCAATTCAATAGTATCATAGAATGGAGAAGTTAAGATTTTTGGTCTTTGGAAATTCTAGGGTTTGCAAGAGGGGGGAAGAGATTTGTGTAGAGGTAAAACTCAACAGTAAATACTTACCACGCTATCCGTGTTTACACAAAATTAAATAATTTAATACTAGCAATTAATAATTAGAGAGTCTATATACAGTGCTGGTGCTAGATTTTTTACAAAGAGGAGTAGAATATAACGAATTAAATATATAAAGAAAGTCAAGAAACATATAGTATATTTGCTTAAAAAATTTACCTAATTATACAGAATAATTTTCCGAAGAATTAAGGATGGGCAGCCCCAGCTGGAATGAAACCAAAATAATAATTGCATTACAGGAGATTCATTTAACAAAATGCATCAAATCTTGATATATATGGTAATGTTGTAACTACTAGACATGTTTCTTTGACTACCTTCCATAGTTCAAAGAATTTATTTGATCCACTAACCAAATTTCATGATTTGAAATTTAAAAAAGAAAATTCCTAATTGGGAATGGCATTAAATTAACTTTCTCTTTAGAAAAAAAAATTAGCAGGTTATTGGTGAACTAGATATTATATAATATGGTGGTAAAAAAGCACTCTAAAGTTTTTAAAAAAACATTCTTTTACACAAGATGGCCAAGAGTTTGATGACTTTGTTTTTGGCAGTCTCCTTCTTGCTTATTTTATGCGGTCAGTCTATCTCTCTCCCTCCCCCGCCTCCAACCCCGTCTGTCTGTCTATATAATCAGTGCGGAGGCAGAAATTTCATTAAAAGGTATCAAAATATAAAAAAAAATATACAAAAAAGTCGAGAGAATCTAACATATAATATATATATATAGATATATATATGCCTAAAACACGAGCATATCAGAATGTATCTAAGTCTTCCAAAATATATGATGTACATGTTAACGAGTTTTGTTATTTTCAGATGTGATTACAGTAGAAACATGTCAACAAACATGTCAAACTAGAGAAGATTGTAGCTTATCGTGTGAATCTGGGTTTTCAACTTGTGTTGATGGGATGTGCGTATGTTTAGCTGATCTCAAGGCATATTCTGCTGATTATAAAGGTTCCTCTCACTCTCTTTATCTTTCTCATATTCAATCACTTAGTGACACATAATTAAGTTATAATATTAGCAAATTTTGATCATGTGATTTTATAATAGGTTACACAAGATTTTTTTCAACTGACGAAATTTATTCAAACAACATGAAGTAGTAGATCTAGGATACATTTGCTTATGTTGATGACACACACAGAGGCGGAGCAATAATTTTCATTGGAATTCAAAATATAAAGAAATAAACGCACCAAGAAGTCAAATGGTGTATAATAACTCGTAAATTAAAGTCACATGTGATATATATATGGTCGTTTTAGCATGAAGCACCTTTTACTTCTCATATGTTGGTAACACATGTAACTAGGAGTGGCAAACGGGCGGGTCGGATTGGATATGGTTAGGGCTGAAAATGGATAATGAAAAAACGGATAAATTATCCGATCCGACCTATATTTAATACGGATAAAAAGCGGGTTAACCGACGGATGATATGGGTAACCATAGTATCCATAATTTCTTGCATATGATCACTTTTGGGGGAATTCTTAGTCTCCCTAACTTGAGAAACCCTAATTTGAGGCTTTACAAATATAAAAGTTAGACCCATTAGTTATCCATTGGTTATCCATTTTCTAAATGGATAATATGATTCTTATCTATATTTGATCCGTTTTTAAAAAATTCATTATCCAACCTATTTTTTAATAGATTATATGGGTGATTAATTATTTTTTTAATTGTTTTGCCACTTCTGTATGTATCTAAGTCCTTCAAAAATTTATCATTGATATTAACTAGTTTTGTGATCTTCAGATGTGGTGACAACAGATACATGTGAGTGTAGAGAAGATTGTCAAATAGCATGTGACTATGGGATTGCAACTTGTGTTGAAGGGAGTTGCGTATGTTTAGTTCTCAAGACACATTCCACCAATAATAAAGGTCCCTCCTTCCTTCCCTTTGCCGTTTTTGATCGTGGTGCCATCACGTAATAATAAGTTATTTTTGGCAAATTATGTACATAATATATTTGATATCGTTGGAGGATCACGGGTTCATATAAACCATGATTTTCACCGTGAATCCACCCATGATTAAAAGGTTATAAAACATTTCTTTCAACTGATGATAATAGCATATATCGTCGCACCTAATGTTTTAGCATTGTGCATCTTTTACTTGTCACATATTAGCAATTTATTGTAACTAAATTCTTTTCCTAAATGCTAACGAGTTTTGTAATTTTCAGATGTGGTGACAGAAAAGATCATGTGTAAGACGACATTAGACTGTCGTCGTGATCTGAAATGTAAAGTTGGGTTTCCAATTTGTGTTGAAGGGGGATGCATTTGTAGTGATCAACTCGGGTCAATACTCCATTAGTCATGATGGTGGCAGTTTTGGAGCCAAGTATATTAATAGTCTTCATTGTTAATTTGTTATTAAGAATATAAAATTCCTTATTGGCGGATGAATATTGTATTTAATTCGATGATGTTTACTTGAAGAAATAAATAGCAATGAAATTTCATTACTTGGTTGGATTATAACTAGAAAAAGAAATTGTTTTTTTTTGTTTTACATCTTATGTTTCTTTTTATAAATATTATTACTATATTTTTTGGATGGTCCAATATTCAGGGTTGGGGAAATGGCCGAGAGTATGAACTTTGCACCTCTAGAATGAAAGGTTTTGATATCATTCAGTTCATGTATACTGTTACACTGTAACGGCGCCTTCCAAAATTTTTTTAGATGGGCGACGTAACGTTAAGTAACCGATGTTCATGTGGTTATTATCCGTTAGCTGGAGTCCCCTTCGTACGCTAGACGAGATTATTAGTGCCGTACAAGAAAATCAATGTCAAGAGCAATTGAGAGAATATAAAAGAGAATGAGAATGACAGATAGCTTGATTGTATTAATGAAGCTATTACAGAAAGCCAATATAGTGCTTACTTACTTGAAAGTTTGAGTACTTGATTTTCCCTAATAATGCTTAAAAAAATAAATAAACCAAAGTTACAAGACTTGTCATAACTAAGCTAGAAAGACATAATGGAAATACACGAAGTAAAACTACTCTATATTTACAATAAAAAGGACTTAGATTCTTAGAAGGTAGAAGCAGGTTCGTTAGCAGCAACTTTGTCCTTAGCAAAAGAGTCTGCGCGCGGCATTATTGGTATTTGCCAGCGGCTGGGTGCTGGTGAGGACTATCGATGGGGTGACATAGCTAGGCACATACGCGCTTGTCACTTGGCGCGACCAAGACCACGGGGCCTTCCATGATCGCTAGGCCTTGGAAGGCTTGCCACGACGCCATGGGGCGCGTCAAGGGGTCATGGGGCATGGTTGGAAAACCGGCCATGACAATTTCACATGATTATGAATTAGTGTCAAAATATTTACGAAAATGTTCATTTACCTTTCTACCTTTGGTTACAGTTCAATATTATCATTGTATACACATTGGAGCGTGTCACACCTCCTTTTTTCGAGGGGATATGGAGTTTTTCTAATTAAAGTAACATAATTGAAATGAGATTATTTATTTAATTTCAGAGTCGTCACTTGTGATAATTTATGGTGTCCCAAATCACCGATTTATTTTAAATCTCAAATCGAGAAAATTTGACTCTGTTTTAAAGTCCGCGAACACAGAAGACCGGGTAAGGAATTCTGTTAACCCAGGAGAAGGTGTGAGGCACTCCCGAGTTTCGTGGTTTTAGCACGGTCGCTCAACTATTAATAATTGGGCTAATTATTTAATACATATTTTAAACCTATTGGTCATTTTTATCAACCAACCGCTTTTAATATTTATGGAATTTGTTTGAACAAGCCGCGAAGTCGCGCACTCGTTTTGTTTTTGTACACATTGTGAATCGCACCACGTGAAACGCACACACGATTTACAAGTCATCGATTATTTTAAATCTCAAATCGAGGAAATTTGACTCTGTTTTAAAGTCTGCGAACACAGAAAAACGGGTAAGGAATTCTGTTAACCCGAGAGAAAGTGTGAGACGCTCCCGAGTTCTGTGGTTTTAGCATGGTCGCTCAACTATTAATAATTGACCTAATTATTAATACATATTTTAAACCTATCTTTTTGGTAGGAAAGATAATGCATATTACTTAAAATATAGAGCTATACATTACACCTAGATAGTTGATATAAGAGGCATCAGGTTACATAAGTGCCCCATACAGGAGTCATGGGATGCATTACTAGTCCTAGATTATAAACTATTACTATGAGATAATAAACTAGTCGACAAAATAGTAGTATTACATACATTAGTTGAACTAGAGAGCAAAAGATTAGAAACCCTAGTACTATTGTTAACAAGCCGTTGTTTGTAAATGCCTTGTTGATCCTGATGGAAGAGTAAGTTGACAAAAGGTGGTGATTGTCCAAAAATTCGGCATTTTTCCTTTAACTGGAGGGCTCCATACGATGCTAACTTATCTGCCACACTGTTTTGCTCTCTGTGTATATGGTGTATGGGTGGGCTATCCAGCTGTTGGAGCAAGAACCTGCAATCACTAATTATGATAGTAAATTTTATAACTGGGCAAGAAAACATGCCTAGTATTGCACGAGCATCCGTTTCAATGACAAGTGGTGTGAGATGGCGGTGTATTGCAATTTTGAGCCCCATGATTAATGCAAGTAGTTCAGTATGAATTGGAGTACCCTCCTGAGCTGTCCCTGCGATGCCTAAAATCCAGTTGCCCTGACTGTTGCAGAAAACACCCCCAATGCCATATTTTCCTTTGTCCGGTGAACAAGATCCATCAATATTGAGTTTAAAAGTATTTGGAGCGGGAGGGTGCCATTTTATATAAAGGGGTGTGTTTAACCAAAAATCTGAGTCTTTGGTCAAAGCTAAAAAGAAATTCGGGTTACTGATAATCAGGAGACGAAAATAAAATATTTTTGAGAATGATGGCAAAACAGTAAATAGTTTTGTATTTCAGTAAGATCTCAATAGTATTTCGTATCCTTACAGATGTTGAGTCTTTCCCCTTTTATAGTTGATTCAAGGAGAAGATATAATGTCTTTGTCTTAATGAGGCAATTATGAGCAATAAATGATATTTAAAAGAAACGTTACACAATCATTTCTATTCAATTCAAATTCTCTAACGTATTTGACAGTTAATGCTGCATTTAGACTCTTTTACATCATCAGATTCGTATCTTCAACTTCTTCTGATCTTTGATCTTTAAACGACTCGAATAGGTACGAGACTCGTATCTATTTTAGTAATGGTCCACACCTATGTTGCTTTCTTTTCCCCCCATCTGTTGTCGCTCGTGCCTCTTAGCTATTTCTTACGTTTTGACCTTTTGACCAGTCCACGTGTCATGACACGTCATCTTCAATATTCAGACTCAGTTTTTTCCCAATACAGATAGTCCCCCCACTATCCATTTATTTATCCATTAAATATTTGGGAAGTGGACCTTCACAAAAAGGGAATTTTTTTTTGCTGTAATCAATGCTATGACAGTACTGACGCCCCAGTTGCCTTTTCTATTTAAATCTCTGCACACGTGTCACCTTCCGATTGGTTTTGTAATTCTGCAGCCTTTTTCCAAGGTTTATTCATCCCTTAAATTCACGAAGCGATAGTTGCCTTTATTATAGGCTTTCCATCATTACACTTCTTTGTTTGACGGTTGCTATTATATACGTATATATCCTTTTTCCCATCTTATTCACCTATACCACCCCAAATTATTCCGCCATGGAGTTTTTACCTTGACTGTAAGAAGCAAGAAGGTTTTGGTAAACCCCGAAGATGACAAGGATCGAGGGTGGTATTGTCGTTACGTTGCTGTTCGTACGATGGATTTGTTGGGCGAAACAAACATTCCCTTCCCTGAGAAGTGGAATTTTGCACGTAAGTTTTTCTTTTTCTTACCATATCTATTTTTAAGAATTTTGATTTCCCTTCTAATCTCGTCTCTTTTTGTTTTTTTGTAGCAACCATGGGAGATGTGGAACACGTTCCTATCTTCCGTGATTAGGTAGATTCAATTTTGAAGATTGTGCCTATGGAGGTGAGAACTTGGAAATCAATTTCTCTTTTGAATGGATGGAAAGTAAAGACCCATGGTATGTATTTCCTTATGCTTTGCCGTATATTGAATTCTTTCTTATCTTAATTCTTTATCCCTTTTTTTATCAGAATTTGGTATCAGAGGTATGACAGCTGAGGTAGCCATTGCCATTCGAGCGTCTTCAACCGCTTCTCTTGATTTGGAAAAGACTTGGGCCACACTATCAAAAAGAAAAGTCGTAGAAGAAAGTTCTGAGAATGAAGAAGAAGAGAATACCTCTTTGATAGCTATTTGAAAATTTCTTTGCCTTTTTTATCGACTCCTGTTTCCTTACCTGTTTTGGTTCCCATATCTGCTCTTACTGTCCCTGCTTCGGCTCCCACAGCTCCCATTGTTTTTACCTCTTCTACTACTCCTCCTTCCATTGTTTCCCCTCCCTCTGTTCAGCATACAGAAGCGGGTTCTAGAAACAGAGGTATGGCTATGAGAAGTGTTACTCTTGAAGTTCCTGCCAATCATAGCCTTTTGAGAAAGACTGGTAGAGCTGATGTTTGACTCAAGCCTCTAATCGAAGATATTGAGAAGAAGGAGATGGAGAGCCACAGTTGCTTGACTCTGATGAATGACATAGTTCATTCTACCTTGAAGGTATTTCTCTTTTAACTTACTAGTTTTTTTTATATCTCTCTATATTCTCACATTTGATGCCTTTCCCTTGTAGGCTAATCTTATTGGTACTGAGTTAATGGGAAAAATCTCCACTCTAGAGAAGAAGGATCGAGAGTCTGCGAAGGCTATCTCTGAGGCTAGGAGAATAGCCAATGAAACCCAGCTTGAGGCAGCAAACTGGAAGGAGCAGTTTGAGAATGCTCAGGGGACCATAGAGGAGTTGCAAGAAAGTAAAAATCACCTGGAGCAGCAAAAGCGTGGTTTGACTTCTGAGTTAGCATTTGCCAAGGCTTCTTCAGGCCAATTTAAAAGAGATAGGGAGCTTTTGGAGTGCTCATTTTCAGAACAATTATCAAAGGCTAATGAAGAAATCAGAGAGCTTAAGGCACTTGTGGCGAAGAAAGAAGAATATGCAGGGGAGTTAGTGCAAAGCTTGACTCAAGCTTAGGCTGACTTAAGGATCTCCTCTGACGAGATACATGCTTTGAAGAGTTCTCATGCCTCCCTTGAAGCTTCCCTTGATTCCCACTTAGCTGAACACCAGGTATTGAATAATGATATTGCTATGTGGGAAGGGAGTATGGACTTCTTGAGGAAAACTTCAACATAGAGGTAAGTTGGGCTTTTCTAAAATCTCGCCGTGATGCTTTGATGGAAGCTACTCAAGAAAACTTTGATTTGCAATCTGAATTAGCCAAAGTCTTAGACACTATTGAAAAAAGCCAACAGCCAGTTGATACTCCTTCTCCTGCACTTGGAACTCCTGGGGCAGAAGAGCTTTTAAATGA